GAATTTACTCTCTGTCACCTTGTAATGTATTTTCAGTCACTGGTGTCTCTGAAAATTATCAGTTGTTTGTAGGGGAAAATTTTCCATTGTTTCATAGTCACTGTATCTACACCAGTAGGTATGCACAGACACCTAGAGTAATGGTAGCCTTCACAATTCCACGTCTATTATTTTTAAATTAAAAACTTTTAATATGCATTTGTGCCTTGAATTGTGAAATATTTTAGACGTACATAAAATTATTAAATCCTAACATGCCTATCGTCCGTATCTGACAGGTACTAACTTTTTGTCATATTAATCAGGTCTTTGCTTTTTAAACAGAAAACCCGGTCTAATACTGCAGATACACCTAAAGTCTCTTTGCCCTTATTCCAGCTTCCTCCTCCTCCTCCTTCCAGAGTAGGTCCTGTGCCGGGGTTGGTGTCTGTCACCTACACTCCCTACTCTAAATAAGTATATATGGAGTTTTGCCATTTTTAAAATGCATGTTGCATGCACTTGTCAAGTGTGGTTCTGATTGAAAAGTAGTAAGTACATGCCCGTTACAGATAATTCCAACCTTTACAGAAATTTATAAGTGCTCTACAATACTCACTTTAAGAAAGCCACTGTTCACCATAGAGTATATCATTTTTCAACCCATGCTGTAAAGTTGTGTTTAGTAGAACCCAAAACTATCTGAGCTGCTTAGCAAAAACACTTCCCGAGGGAAGAGTAATGAAGTAGTATTTACCATCATATCCTGTTCTGTATCAATAGTTCTTTATCTTCTTTAGAGAAGAAAGGATTCTCCACAAAAGAGTTGAGACTTACGGGACTCTCAGTGGGTTTTAACCGGGAGACCAATCCTTGTTTATACCTCAGAGCAACAGGCCGACATGGACTTGATCCCTGCACCCGATAGCAGGCCCGGCTTGCACAGAGCAGACAGCCTTGAAGAGCAGCTGGTAAACTTGGAGCACGTATAAGACAATCAAAGGAAGTCTACATATAAACTTCTGTATGCGAGGAAAGGTGGTTTTTCCATTTGCCTTTTTCTGAGCAATTTAACTTCCTAATTACATGATTCAAATTGTTTCAGAGACTATGTAAACCATACGTTTGCTGAATGCTGGAGACAAACATGGGGAAGTGTGATTAGCATCAACTTCCCTCAGGAAAGGGGTTTCTTGCCCAGCCCAGCCAAGCCTATGTTCTGCTTATTGGACATGGTGAGTAAGCAGCGGAGGGAAAGAAGCTTGGGCAGCGCTGCATCTGGCTGTGGATTCCCCCTGGTCCTCCTGCCTGAGCACATATTTTAACACATATTTTATTCTCTGTATCAGCATGAAAGAGATAGTGGGTGCTGACTGACATTAGGAGAAGGAATTTCATTCATACTAGGCAGATCTGAAGAGGGGAAAATATGATTATGTGGAATCTTTATGAGAATAAGTGTGTGTGTATGTGTGAGAGAGAGCACGAACAGTAAGCAGGCTAGCAAGAGTGAGTTGCTTTTCAGTATTTGTTTTATTGGGTTTGAATAATGCCTGACAAGGACAGATATTAAATCCAATTATTTTATATTAAATTTATTAGAAGAGCAGTGAAGAAGTTATACATGTTATATTCTATGTGATGAAGATGTTTAGAGGTCTAGGTAAAATAAATGATATTGGGTGATTGCTGTTGAATCAGTTAAAAAAAAAAGCAGACACATCCTGCTTTTTATTTCGGACTCCGGACTCACAAACAGTGGGCACGCTCCCTGCTCAGGTATATTCAGTGACACAGATGTGCAGATGTGTAGGAACAGACACCCCTAGGTGACCCTTCAAAGCTACGAGTAAAGTGGCTGCGATTCGTGATCCAAACTGGAATTTGAGAAAATCGGCATAAACTGGATCAACAGTCACCCTAGCTCTTAATGGCCTTGAGGTTGTTATCGTTTAAGAGAACAATGAAAAACATTCTATTATAGTTTATCTACTTCTCCTGTCTCTAATTACCCCTGCAGACAAAGATTCAAAGCATTGATGAAACACAATAGCTGGTATTATTTGTTTTTAGGCAAACACTGGAGGAAATAAATAGAAACTCTAAAAATTAAGAGGGAAAAAACATTTAGGTAGTTTATTCATATTAGTTTACATTAGTTTTCTGAGAACTCTTGGTCTTGAATTCTACCGGGGACTACCTAATAGGCAAAACTAGTTTATGCTAAAGACTTCTTGGAATGTGAGTCATCTTGAGTGATTGCTTTAGTGCATATACATTTCTTGGCCCTTTGTCTCTTTGGAAATGCAAAGAATACCTATTCATTGTCATTGTTTAGGGTACTCCCTAAACACCCATTTGCATGGCATCAGAGGGCTTGGATTTTTCTGTCAGAACCATATTATTTAAAGTGGAAATGAGTATCTTTGACTACTGGGTAGTGTTTTTGCCTTGTGAGTTGGACCAAGAGTAACTGGAAGATACAGAGAGGATTATAGCAGGAAGCCTTCCTTCATCTTATGTTTGCTCTTGTTGTTGGGTTGTGCTTTTATTTGTTTATTATATCTTATGTCCTGGCACACTACATCCCTGTCTGAGATATCTAAATAAGCATTATAAACTTTTTCTGCTCTTCCAAAAAAACTGTTCCTGGTAAGCATGGTCTTTTAAACATATAACCTTATTTGTCTGTGAAGTGTTTCATTCTCTTTTCTCCTTTCATAAAAGTTGTCGTGAGCTGTGCTAAGCCTCTGTGGGCTGTGAGAAAAACTGTTCTGTATCCTGAGTGTTTGTGGGCAGTTTCAGGAGAACTTTGGGGATGACCTCGCCATGGGAACTTTCCATAATACAGACTGTTACCCTAGCAACAAAGGGCTTGATCAGAACACAATATTCTGCTTTTCTGGATTACTGTGTTTGCTGGTTTTGGTTTTTGTTTTTTTCAGGGGACAATCTATCAAACTGAATTTTAGAAAAGATGATAAAGTTACAAGGGAGTGGTTGACAGGCAGCTGTCCAGCACTGAATGAAAGAAATTCTAAGAAATCTTGAACAAATGCCTTACTCTGAAATTTCTTGTACAGTTGACTGGGCATATGAATTTTTCCTTTCTCTTTATATCCCTAACTTCATACATTTATGCTTACTATTAATTAAGACAGCAACCTGATATTGTTCTCAAATTTATTGCATAGTCGTCCATTTATGCACCAGTTACTTACTGAGCTCTCCCACATTCAACTGCAAGGGTATGTATTCACGTACCCTTGAGTACATAGAGGGAAAGCTGTATCTGAGCAGGGTTGGGATTTTTCAAGGAGTGGAAGGTGCATGCAAGGAGCAATTATAACTAGGTACCAAGAAATCCAAGTGGCTAAGGCAATAAGCATGAATGAAAGGACACAAAGGGGTTAAGGATGGGAGAAAGGTGGCAGAGTCAATGGGTTGTAGGCCCAGGTGTGTTGAAGAATTGCTGTGGTTGATTAGAAGAGGTGATTCGGTGAGACAGGCAGTGCTGGTTAGTCGTGCTTGACCTCAGGATCACAGAGAGGTTGCAGTTTACAGCAATGACAAGGTCTGCGCTGTGACGATGTGGAGGGGTGGCGGAAGTATGGTGGAAGACAAGGTCTTTAGAGGAAAAGTCAGGAGGCCAGGCTAATGGGAGGCTCTGCTACCTGGAAATTCAAGAAAGAAGTAATGCTGGCAAAAGGGAATCAGCAACTACACTCACGAAGGAGGTTGAAGACTGGCCCAGGGGTCTGTGAATGGCTGTGACTCTCAGGGGGCAAGTGAGAGCACGAGCTTCAAAGCTGAGGACTTTTGGGGAGGAGGAAGTGCCATTGTCCAGAAGCAGCAACGAGATGCAAGCAGACTGAGAGCCTTTCCGGTGAGATGGCGTTCTCTAGGGACAGTCAAGTTTCTTTTGAGGCAAGAGGGCAAAGGGAGGGTTTAGAGAGGAGGCTGAGGATTCAGGAGGTTTAGCTGTATTCCCTAAATGAGGGACATTATCGGGGGGCACAGAGCATGGGGTTCAGGAACCAGCCAGGGAGCTCAGGGAGGCAGGGCCAGGTTAGGCACGTTCATGGTTCTAGGGATGCGATTCCAGGCGACCGATGAACACTGGCAGAAGCAGGGATAGCGGGACTAGTCCTGCTGGTTTCTGAAGCAGTCGGTGAGGCCGTGTGTGTTGGAGAGAAGGATGTCTTGCCAGAAGCCAGCAGACCTCTGGGCCTCCTCTCCCTTCCTGAGCCTGGTGGTTTGGAGGCTGTGGGTGAGGCCTTGTTGTGTAGAACGTGGGTACGTTTAGGGATTCCCTCTACGTTCTTACGATGGAGGCAGGGTGGGAGTGCATTGACTTACTCAAGCATGATTGTGAAGCATGCGTGTGTCACTTTTCACAGTTCTAGGATACTCTAAAGTGAAAACCGGAGGGTTTATGTGTTTTCATACAATTTAATGTATTACAGAAAAATAGTAACTCATGGGTCTGATTGGGAGGGTCATACTGATTCATGATCAGCAGATATCATTTGGATTCCAATTCATCTTTTTTTATCTTTTCTTTTAATTTAATTATTGTTCAACTACAGTATTCTGTCTTTTACTCCCATCCCAGCCCACCACTCCCCCGTGCCCCCCACCTCCCTTCCATTTCCACCCCCCTTAGTTGTTGTCCATGTGTCCTTTATACTAGTTCCTGTAAATCCTTCCTCTTTTTTCCCTTTAAATTCCCTCCCCTCTCCCCTCCGGGACTGTCCCCCTGTTCTCTATTTCAGTGTCGTTGTTTTTATTTCGCTTGCTTGTTTGTTTTGTTGTTTAGCTTCCTGTTAAAGATGAGATCATATGGTATTTGTCTTTCACTGCCTGGCTTATCTCACTCAGCATAACAATTCATATTTTAAACTAAACCATTTTCTCCTTGCCTCCCACTCCACCCCCTTCCCCCCAAATGTGACTTGAGAAGTGACCAGGTGCCAGTCTTACCCACTGAATCATTATGTTCTCTTCCTTTTTCCGTACAGTGAGGAAAGTTACAACGTCAATGATTATGCCTTAAGAGATCAGCTAATGGTGGAATCCTGTGACAATGAAGAGCTCAACTCTTCTCCTGGGAAGAACAGTTCCACCATGCTTTATTCAAGACAGAACTCCGCCAGTCACCTCTTCACTCTGACAGTCCTCAGTAACCACGCGAGTGAGAAGGTGGAGATGCTGCTGGGGGCTGACACACAGTGAGTATGTGCGGGGGAATTGCCCTGGGGCCTGCGGACGCCCTGGAAACAGTGCACAGCAGCGACTGTTCTTTTTGTTGTTGAGTGCCTATTATGAGCCAAGCACTGGGTCTAGCTGCTTTGTACAGATGCTCGTCTTTTCATTATGAGCCTCTCATTGTTTGGAGAGATGGGCATTATTTTTGCCTCGTGAGTCCTGCTGGATGCATTGTACAGTAGTCTCCCCTTATCGGATATAAGCTCCAGGACCCCCAGTGGATGCTCGAATGATAACGTTTTAATTTATACATGAGACACAGTAAGAGAGAAACAACAACTAACAATAAATAAAATAGAACAGTTGTAACAATATACTGTAATAAAAGTTATGCGGGTGTGGTCTCTACCTCGAAATACCTTGCTGTACCGTACTCCCCCTCTCCCTCATGATGATGTGAGATCTCGGACACAAGGCCGACCCAGTGGGACGAGGTGAGCTGAATGGTGCGGGCATTGGGACATCGCACTGGCTGCTGTTGACCTTCTTACCATGCACCTACTGTGTGAGTCACTGGCAGGCAGCATGCACGGCGAGAACATGCTGGACAAAAGAGTGATCCGCGTCCAGGGCGGGACGGAGCAGAGCAGTGCGAGATGTCTTCTAGCTTCCCAGGACAGCGTGCAATGAAAAACCCATGAATTGTTTATTTCTAGAATTTTCTATTTAATATTTTCAGGCCTCGGTTGACCACAGGTAACTGAAACCACAGGAAGCGAAACTGCAGATAAAGGGGGACTGCTGTTCTCTAGGTGGTGTGCTTTCATGTTTAGGGTGCTTTAAAATGATTTTATTTTGCCCTGGCTGGTGTAGCTCAGTGGATTGAGTGTGGGCCTGAGAACTAAGGGATCGTGGTTCAATTCCCAGTCAGGGCACATGCCTGGGTTGCAGGCCAGTTCCCAGCAGGGGACACATGAGAGGCAACCATACACTGATATTTCTCTCCCTCTCTCCTTTCCTTCCCCTCTAAAGATAAATGAATAAAATCTTTTAAAAATTATATATTTTAATCATCGATAAAAAAATATGACCCATGGGTCCTAGGAATGTCGACTTACTTAAGTGGTAGTTTGAGTCTATAGGCCATACGTCTTCACTGATAATGAAATTGAAGTCATTTTTCAATCATCTTCCTTCATCCAGACAGCAAAAAGCCCAGCAGTTTCTCTCAGGAGACACTCAGTTGGGGGGATGTATTGAAGAATCCTCTTTCCTGTACAGTGTGTGTGGGGACCAACTGGTCACCTTATTTGTGCTCAGGGGTCCATCAGCAGTTACTGCTTAGTCCATCCTCACCTGGAATGAAGGGAGGGGCCTTTGTTTTCAAGTCCACCCTTGTGATTTGTTCTACTTCAAGATAGTTGACCAATTCATTTGTTTGGAAACTAGAGACCTGGTCTTGGAACACTTACTACAAGCAGGTATTCTGTTGAGTCAGAGGGTGGATCCATGGAGGGAAGGAGAAGCTCCCTGATTCTCTAGCCTCTAGTGCCACTACGCCCATCTCCCACCCATGTCTCCAAGGTTCCCACGTGCTATGATTGAAACAGATTAGCACCTGGTGGACAATCCCAAGACTTTGGTAAAACCCTAGCGCAACTAAAGCCAAAGAATATGTCCACTTTTTAAGTGTATTTAACAGTATGCCTGGGTCATGAGAGATGTACATTTAAAAAAATGGTTAAAATTAGAAAGCATTCATTTACATAAAATGTGAAAAAAATTGTACATCTCTTGGCACTAGAAGCATTTCAAAGGTTGGAGAAGCCCAAGAGGGACAGGTTTAGGTAAAGATATTTAAGGTTTGATGAAAACAGCCAAAATCAACAGTTCCAAATGAACTCGAGAGGTAATAGCGTGAATGAATAATAAGAAAAGGAGCTTCATCACATATGCTTGTTTGTAGGACAAAGGAACGCCTTTCTCTAAAGGTCCTGGAGTTCTTGCTCTGAAACTGCTGAAAAGCCCTGAGACACGAGCACTCATGCCCTCTCTGTTCGCCCCTCTGGGGAGGGGATGCTGGGGGGGTGATTGCTTGTGTGTGCAGGTGTCCAGCAGGACACAGGTGTATACCCAAGGCTGAAGAAGGCATTTCTTCAACTTAAAACAGGGATTAGACCCCTTGGCCAGTGAAGACAGTGCTAGACTTCTTTTGGGCAAGCCTCTTTTTTAAAAAGTCTAATACTCAAGTGTCTGAGCTTTGGATTTTAAAAGACTTTAAAGATAAAAATGTTTTAAATATTTTGAAGGTCAGTGCTTGTCCAGATGTTCTAGAAAATTCTCAGAAACTAGAGATTTTTTTTTCATCTTTTTCAGTTAGTAATGTTGAAAGTATTGGTTTTGCTTTGCGTTTTCCTTTTCTTTGTGTTTATAAGGACTGTTTGTTTTTTATTCAGGCCTTGCCAACATTATCAGCAGAGTTCTTCCTGACTGTCTTGTTTATAATTTACATAATCTTCACCACTTGTCTCTGAGATTGCTTGAAAGGAGTAGGGAGTGAAGTGACACATTCACTTCCTTTACACCAACTCTGTATCGTTTCCTGGGACCCTCCACCTGCCTTCTGATCATTTCATGGGCTGAATGGGTGTTCATTTCCTTTTCGAGAAATGTTCTCAGAATATCTAGTTATGCCACCCGTAAACTCATGGGTATGACTCATATTTGTAGTGCTTTAATTAATAGGGACAGGACATTCCAGAAAGGGCATAGGGGCAGATGTCTCGTTGGGTACAGAGGGAGTGATTCCCTCCCCCTCCCCCACTACCAACTCTATTACAGTTCAAAAGTAAATAACTGTACAAATACTTTTAAGGTCAAAGACATAAAATAGCCACTGGCGTTGAAAGAAAATAAATTACAGGCACATGCACTTTCCTTTAAAAATAATAGGGTATTTTAAAAGTCTAGCAAATTGTTGTACCTCATATTTGGAAATGTACAGGTCATGTTTGGGCTACTTGGTTTTGAGCAATCAGAGTTTGGGTCTATGTATAATGTTTTCTTTGTTTCTGAGATCTGCAAAATGTACAGGAGTTTACGTTTTGTCTCTTTTATACATGGTTAATGTGGTTCAGTAGTAATCTAGTAGAGGGTGTTTACTACCACACTGGCTTTGAGTAATTGTAGGACTTCAGGCCAGTCACGTGTATCCATTGGCTATTCATTCTTTGATTTGAAAAAGAATAGGATTCACTTCTGGCCAAGGTGACAGTATAGACAAACATGGCTCACCTCTTCACACAACCACATCAAAATTACAACCAAAACGTAGAACAACCATCACACACAAACGTCGGAAATTGAGTAGAATGGAAGTCTTACAGCTGTGGAAATCACATAGCTGTAAGAAATCACAATTAAAGAAATCACGTCCATCCAGGCTGGTAGGAGGGGCACAAACATGGAACGTGCTGGTCCCTCACCCGTGTGCGGTGGGTAAAAATTCAGGAGGGATACCTCGGAAGCAAGGAGTCCTAGACCCACACCAGGCCCCCAAACCCAGGGTTCCAGAGCCAGGAAAATAAGTCTCCACAACTTCTGGATGTAAAAACCAGCAGGGATTGAGTAAGTGGAAAAAATTATTGGAGCCCCAAGCAGTTCCTCTTAACCCACAAATGGACTCACCTACTCAGACTCACTTCCTCTGAGCTCTAGCACCAGGGTAGCAGCTTGAAAGGCACCAGTGGTATACAGGGAGAAATTGAAGTGTCTAGCATCAAGGTGAACAGAGGCCATTGTAAACCCTCCCCCACCAATGGACCCAGCAGGCTCCTTTCATATCTGAGACTCCATCAACCTGGCTAACACTTTTTTGACCCACCTTGAAGATCCCCAAGACTCCGCCCCACCCAGCTTATGGGCCCGCCCAAGCTGCTTTTCCATATGAATGGCTGGTCTTGGCTCAGGCAGAACTACATCTTAAATCTTCTCAAAAGAGTAACAGCTGGTCTAGAGCACCAGGCCTCGCACTAGCAGCAGCCAGCCTAGATTCACAGCTTGGCTTTGTCTGGGAATCTCCAGCACAAGTAGCAGCCATCACAGATTGTTTTATAATTCAGGCAGAGTATGGCCCCAGGCAAAACACAGGTGGGGCTGACCTTGGCCTGCACCACCCAGGAAACTGAAGGGCCAGGACAGCTCTAGACCACCTTGGAGCACCACCAACCTTCTCTTCTACAGCTGATCCTCCATGGAGGGTAGAGGGTGGTAATAAGTGGCCACAGTCAATCTTTGCAGCTGACCGGCCTGGGTAAATCCCTCCCATTGATCTGCCAACAGCAATCAAGGTTTAACTACAGGAGGAGGGTATATTCAGCCCACATGGATGGCACACCTCTAGAACCCAGCCTAGGTGACAGGGGCAGCTGTGCCACTGGACCCTACAGGACACCTATTACATTAGGCCAGCTACCAAGACAAGGAGTGATAGCAGCTCTACATAATACATAGAAACAAATACAAAAGGCTGTCAAAACAAGGAGACAGAGCAACATTACCCAAATGAAAGAACAGAACAAAACTCCAGAAACAGAACGAAACAAAAAGGAGATAAGCAACCTATTAGAGGCAGAATTCAAAACACTGGTTATAAGGATGCTCAAGGAACTTAGTGGATCTCAACAACATAAAAAAGATCCAGTCAGAAGCAAAAGATACATCAATTGAAATAAAGCACAATAAAGAACACGGAAACAATAGTAAAGTGGATGAAGCTAAGATCCCAATAAATTATTTGGAATATAAGCAAAAAACAACCAATCAGAACAGGAAGAAAAAATAATTTAAAAAAAACAAGGATAGTGTAAGCAGCCTACAGGAAAACTTCAAGAGGTCCAACATTTGCATCATAGGGGTGCCAGAAGGAGAAGAGAAAGAGCAAGAAATTGGAAACCTATTTGAAAGAATAGTGGAAGAAAACGTCCCTAATTTGGTGAAGGAAATAGACGTGCAAGTCCAGGAA